TTTTTTTTTTTTTTTGGATGAACTGGTAATGGCAGTAAAACTAATGCTTATGATGTGGTAGACATTACCTATAACTGAAATTACTGACATGGACAGTAATGCAGCTTGTAATAAAAACAAATACTAATGCTGTAGCTGTTTGAGGACACAAACTTCCTCACTGAACCAAACATTACATTTATTTAGCCAGTTAGTGAGAACCAGTTTATGGTGTATATTCTGGGTATTTTGTGACTGATATGGTTTTGTGTTACAGTATCAAGTGGGGCAGCTGTTCTCAGTGGCTGAAGCAAGTAAAAATGAGACGGGTGGTGGTGAGGGCATTGAGGTACTCAAAAATGAGCCCTACGAAAAAGACGGCGAGAAAGGACAGTACACACACAAAATCTACCNNTTTTTTTTTTCTTCTACCTTTTCTCAATCTGATTATTTGATCCCATAATTGCCTTTCTACAGTGTAATAGCACTGTGCTACCAGGCAGTGGCAGCATTGTCTTTGTTGTGAAGTCTTCCAGTTTGATCATTTTCCACCTACGCAATCTTTCCTCTAGAACTTCGGATAACTGAGGGAATATTTCTTCCTTCTCCCTTTCTCCACCTAAATTCACCTGTTCCCACCGTCTTTCCCCACCTTACAGTAAAGTCCCAGGGTTTGTCAAGCTCTTAGCTCCTGAAGGTGCCCTTGTATTCCATGAAAAAGCCTGGAACGCCTACCCCTACTGCAGAACCAGTGAGTCCCCCTCCCCATATCTTTACCTTTGCTTTGCCCTGAAGCCTGTATCCCTCTCCATGGTTAAATACGCTGGTGTTATTTGCATCATGTCACTGTATTTTCTGTCACTGTGAATTTGTAGTGTTTATTTGATTGTATATGTATGTAATGGTGTTTTTTTTCCCCCACCTTTTCTCCTCATGCCTAACCTTGGTCCAGTTGTGACGGTATGAAGCCTTAAATGTTGTTTGTTTTCTTCTATTTATATATATTTTTTTAATTTTAATCATCAAAATATTACTTCGACTAAATTTAAGGTTTTACATATGCTTAATTTACTTTCTGTACATTTAGATCTGAAATATCCTCTGTGACTCTTCTTTCCAGAATGAGTATATGAAAGACAATTTCTTCATTAAGATTGAGACATGGCACAAACCAGACCTTGGGACACAAGAAAATGTGAGTAACATCTACAT